AAATATAAATACTATTAAGATATTATAGATGTGTTATAGGTAGGAGTGAATGTGTTACTGTCTTCTCAGCACATATGCTAATATCTGATCACCATTTCTCTCCCTTTTCATTTAATTATTTGTTAATGAAGTCATGCCTTATACAAAAACATCTTAGGGCAATTAACAAACTAGAGAATAACACAATTTGAAATAATTTGAAAAGCTCAAAAGATATTAAATTGAATTATTGAACATGAATGAAAACACTTAAAACAATTTAAAATGATGCACGCCGTACCAAGAAATAGTATATACTGTATCAGATTATTATGATATCTTGGTGTTAAAAATCACATGTATACATACGACCTTTTCTCCCCCAAAGGATATATTTTATGTACTTCAGTGTTGTAAAAGAAACCCATCCAAGGAGTTTTAATTTCCAGGAATTCATCACCACTGTTCCTCTTGAGCCCCTCAGGCTTTTGAGCAGGGATGGATGGCATGCAATATTGTTTTTCCAGTTAGTTACATCCTTTGTGTAAAATCCATGTTCCATTCTGCAATTGTCTTGTTTTTCTTTTATTATGAAAGTCTACAGTGAAATATTCATCACCATTTCATGTCCAAGCTGTCCTGACTCATACACTAGATTGACTTCCAAGAGTGGCAGACATTCAATTCATGCCACATTTCCACCACACCAGAAGCAAGGAAATTATACCATTTTTGTAGCCATGTAGTCTATTCACATGCAACCCAAAGCCTTCTGTTTTTATCCCAGCCCAGGACATCAAGAGCCATGGACTTACTGTATTTACAAGAATTACTTGTTCTTCTTGTAGCATTTTTAAGTAGTTTGCATTACACCAGAGTAGTGCTGATTATGACATTATACTCTGTTTGAATTTGAATATGGTCACATATTAACTATATTTTGATTCTATCAGCAGCTAAAAGCTTGTTAGCTAAATCTTTAACATGCACTTTTTGCTTCTGCACATTTATAGAGTTTGGAAAAGTTACTTTTTTGCACCACTGGGTGCTAAATCCCCCAACCAGAATAACTAAAGTCTGCACATGTAACACTCAAGGGGTTGTTTATAGTTTGCAGCTCTGTCCATTGTAAATAGAAAACCTTTTAAGGAGATATTTGATGAACAATATAACATCATGGGATGTGGTGGCGCTACGGGCTAAACCACAGAAGCCTTTGTGTTCTGCAAGGTCAGAAGACCAGCAGTCGTAAGATCGAATCCACGCGACGGAGTGAGCTCTTGTCGCTTTGTCCCAGCTCCTTGCCAACCTAGCAGTTCAAAAGCATGTAAATGCGAGTAGATAAATAGGTACCCCCTCGGTGGGAAAGTAAACAGCGTTCCGTGTATAGCCACGCTGGCCACGTGACAAAGGAAACTGTCTTCGGACAAATGCTGGCTCTACGGCTTGGAAACGGGATGAGCACCGCCCCCTAGAGTCAAACACGACTGACTAAAATGTCAAGGGGAACCTTTACCTTTACCTATAATACCATGTGTATAAATTCTAGTCATTTTTTAAAAAAATGTTATTTGATAAGTGAATTATTGTTATATTATTGTGTAGCAGAGCAAATCAACATTATACAATTCTAAAAATGAGGGCAGCCCCCCCCAAAATTGTAACTTTGAAACTGGACTTTGGGTCAGCAACATTTTTTTCACACAGATATAGGAGACAGTCTGCAACTGCTCCGTGCCAAATTTAGGGAAGCTTGGGCAAAGGGCTTTTGAGTTATGATTTTTTTAAAAAATGAAAACTGCCATTTGTTACGGTTTGTTACAGTAGAATACGCAGAGTTATTGAAGACACTTTACCAGTTCTTCTTGTGTTGCAAGACAGTTGTATTTACAAGTATTTACAGTTATATACAGGCAGGCATCTCAACAGCAAGACAGGAACTCTTTATACAATCTGGCAGCATGCATGGCAGCAAGTGATAGTGGAGGAAGAGAGAGAAGCAAGCACACAGTCCACTTATATACATGTACATGGCTTTGTTCAGTCCAATCAGAATGCAGGTGACTTCATCCTCTTGCACCTGGTCTTCTCCTGGTTTCAAGTCATTGCATCAGCTCCAGAGTGATTCAGCATTCTCACATCTGTGCACAATGGCAGCTCGTTAATGAAACACATATACAGGTTCAGGCTTATAAAATTTCTATACTCTGACACCATTCTCCTCCAGGAATAAAAGACAAGTCTTGCTTATTCTTGAAAGAGAATATTTGATGCCATTCACATGTTTTATTTGGAAGGAATCCAGGCTTCAGGGGATGAAATATGGATTCTCAAAAAAGACCTTTCAAAAGGCAAAAAATAACCACTTTGTTATATGAGTGAGCATGTGTGGAACAGGCTTGCCAACAAGATTGTTCCAAAGTAGACACGTTGTTGCAGTTTTATGGACTGGGAAGGAGGATCTTTTTGGAGTGCAATGAAAGTTCACAGAAACAGTAAAGAAAGGTTTTCTTTGAAGAGTTAAAAAAAAACAGACTTGCTTTAAAAAAAGTGACACGGGGACAATCCTCTAGAAATGGACCTTTTGCCATGTATCTCCAGGGAGTTAGAATAAAATTTTGTAAAGCATATTAAAAATATTTCTTCGTTGCAAAAACACAGAGTAGTTGTGTTTTTTTCCCAGCCATGAGTGCTTTCAGTAAACATTCTCTCAGCATTTCTGAGACTAGGCTCCTGACACCAGTCTTCAAAGGGGAAATCAGCTCCAGGTCTGGAGCAATCTGAACTTTTGATTCTCTCAGTTGGGATACAATTAGGTATTCCACCTCAGGAGGGCAACTTTTTAAATTCCTTCCTGGCCAAACAGGCTTTCTTGCTGGCAAAGAGATTCTGTGTTGAGCTGTACTGCAGCTAAAACTGTGCTCACGACCTGAGGTTCAAATCCCAGGTAGCCGGCTCAAGGTTGACTCAGCCTTCCATCCTTCCGAGGTTGGTAAAATGAGTACCCAGCTTGCTGGGGGGCAATGTGTAGCCTGTATAATTAAATTGTAAACCGCCCGGAGAGTGCTTGTAGCGCTATGGGGCGGTATATAAGTCCAATAAATAAATAAATAAATAAATATTTTTAAGATATTTTAACAAGTATAGAAAACAAATATTCAGAAGCTCATTCGTTTAAGGTCTGAAAGTACTGTTTTGTTTTGTTTTTGTTTTTTTTTACTTTGTGGCTGGAGATAATCTTACTTGATGGTTCAGAGCTTTGGTGTCTATATCCTCTCATCATTTCAACTGTTCCACCGATCTTGTCATTACACCATTGTCTCATAATTAATAAAAAAGATTCCAAAAATGTTATGTGACATCAAGGAAATGTGTGCTTGAAGACTACTTATTGCAGGTGCAAGAATTATATCCAAGCAAAAGGATTTGTGTCTTCAACATACAAAAATCATTGCTTGACCCATTTAATTATTTATTATATAAGAATTTTTTTAAAAAACCAAGGGAAGTGATCAGAAATACAGTATAGGGATTCCTAGGGAATAATTATTTGTGGCCTGAAACATGCGTGAAAAACAGCTATTTGCTCTAGTGGATTTTTATTTCCATCTAGATAAATTTCAAGGCTGTCTCTCAAACTGAACATTGTTTAAATAAGGTGCACAAAGTCAAAGTACTTCCCGGGATAACACGTACTGCACATGGGTTTTTTCACTTCATCAGCTGGTTGTGGCTTTATTTTTCGTATTTTACGTAGCAAAGCATATTGGGAAATAAAATGTATGTGCTGTCTTGAAAGAAAATGAGGGAGTCAAACTGGTTATATGACCTAAGAGGGCAGGAATGCAAGAAGAGGTCAACCTGCATTTGACCTCCAGCTTTGTAAAGGTTGGAAGGTGAGAAAATTAGCACAAACATACAGTTTCCTACCCCAGAGTCTTGGCTTTGTAACATTGCATTTTCCTAGGTCTTATGTAAAAAAGGGACTGGCAGACTCCATTGTTTGGATGATGTGTGCTGGGATGATTGTAACTGGGAGCTCTGTCTGGCAGAAATTTTATGCCCAAAATGTAATCAAGCATCATATGGCTGGAAGGGGAACCTATAAAACTTAATCCTCTTTGTCTGTTCTCTTGAGACACGTTCCTTTGAGAGTGTGAACTCTGACTGAGTCTCCTATTCTTCAAAATAAATCCTACATGGACCTTATAGATGTCTCTTTGCATTTCTCTCTGTCTTGGTTGGGAGACTGGCTATACCCACCTAAGAAAATCCGAACCCAATTTTGCTAACAGTTGTAAAGGTCCTGCAAGACAAGAAAAACTTGTTTTGTGCCAGTAACTTTTCCATCTATACAGCAGATCCAATCATTGAAATAATTCCTTTTTTAATTTTCTAATATTAAAAAAGTCATAGGTTTTGTTATAAACTGGCTTTTATGGTTTTTTTTTCAGGAGCATTTTTTGTCCCCAAGAGGTTTTCGTTGGCTCCATGCAGCTTTGGCATCTGTATCCACCACCATGCTGATTTTCTCAAACCTTATTTTTCTCACGGGAAATCATGCTGCCAGAATCTACTGGAACAGGTTCTTCATAGAAGGCAAGTCATATTAATTTAAGTATCCTGATCTTTGATGTTTTACCAGAAATACTTCTTAAGCATTTAATTCAGTTGTTTGTTTGATATCTGCTTTTCTCCCAACATGTGCCTGCATTATACTGTATGCTCTTTGTCCAGTTAGCATTTCTTGCCCTTGGCACCCTAACAGCAATAGCAATCAAAGTGTTTCCCCAGGATTTGTTGGCTTTCACATTCAATATTTACTTTATCTCATGCCACTTTAGGAACATTCTCTGGCAAAAGTGATACTCAGAGGGACCTATAATAACACAATTTCCAGGGGTGAGTGGTAGCCATATCAGTAGAAACAAGAAGAAAACATTGCAGCACTTGAAGATCTATGAAATGTTGTTTGACATGAGCTTTCTTAACGTTGACCTGCTTTTTGAGATAAAAGCATGCTGCTTATATACCACCCTATAACGATTAAGGCACTCATAACATGAAATGCTGCCTTACTTGGCACCTGATTCTGTGGATACTTCGATAGGAATTTGAGTGACTTGAAATAAATCAACAAATTAACACAAAAGTGGCTGAAATCCAGTTGGTGCAATTACACTTTGTAAATGGCGATAACATCATCAGCTATAGAAGTACCTTGTAAGGTACAGGAATAAGATATAGGGTTTTTTTCCTTACTAGAGCAGTAATATGGATATAAACCCTGACGATTTGTCCAGGTATGGTCAATGACAAGCCTTCAAAATGTATCATTTTGACAGCAGCCAATGTTAGACTGTGCCTTCCATCTTGGAGAAAATGTTTGCATTTCCCTGCTTTTTTTTTTTTTTTTGCTCATTTTTAATGTAAATAATATTTTGTGCAAATTATGGAAAGCCACAATGGGGAAAAAACTTTTGGTGTTTCATTCCCATCCTGCAATTGACTGCAGTTCCCATCCTGCAAGATATCCAGGCACATACATTTCTTAAAGTGTACATATGCCAATTTCACTGTGGTTGTTTGTATGACATGATGAGCCATGGTTTGTTTTTACTGTAGTTTGTTGCTTATGCCATGAATTGCATGGCACATTGCTTATGCCGTGAATTGCATGGCAGATGTGAAACAAACTTTAGCTTCTCTTCCATTTGTTCCTCTTCTGAAACTTTTGTCAGTTCCTATCTCAAGCTGGGCAGCTGAAGAAACAACCCAGGGAGAATCCACTGTTGTGAGTTGAGATGTCATGACAAGACATGGCTTAGACCAGTGGTTCTTAACCTTTGTTACTCGGATGTTTTTGAACTGCAATTCCCAGAAACCCCAGCCAGCACAGTTGGTGGTGACGGCTTCTGGGAGTTGCAGTCCAAAACTCCTGAGTAACGCAAGGTTAAGAACCAGTGGCTTAGACAATACCTTGAATGCCAGTAAGAAACTATATAGATTATGGTCTATCATTGGTTATCAAATCATGGTTTTTTAGCAGATACAACAACCCAGATTTCAACAAACCAAAATTACTGCCTTTGATTCAGTAGTCACTGACTTAGCATATATCATAATTAGAGAAGTTCCATTGAAACAGTGGGGATATCGTGAGTCAATTCCTCCGTAAGTTCCATTGATTCAAATGGGCTTACTCTAGAGTCCCATTTGACTCAATGGAACTTACAGAATACTAGAGTAGTACAGCCTACTCCAGGGGTGTCAAACACAAGGCCCGCGGGCCAAATCCGGCCCGCCAGACCTCGTCTGATGGCCCGCGGAGCCGCCGCCAGCCTTGCAGCCTCCCCCTTTTTTTTTCAATGAATTTACTCCGTGCCTGCATGGAGTACAGTGGTGCCCCGCACAGTGAGGTTAATCCGTTCTGGATTAACCTTCTCTGTGGGAAACATCGCACTACGGAACACAAAAAGGCATTGGAACGCATTAAACAGCGTTTAATGCGTTCCAGTGCCATAGAATATTCACCGTTGTGCGATGTTTCCCAGGGGCCAGCAGCCATTTTCGCGCCCTCCCCTCGCACAACGAGGGCACCAAAATGGCTGCCATCAGCTGTCTGGCGGGTCCAAAATGGCCGCCAGAACAGCCGAAAGGGGCCGGGGCGCAGCGTTTTTGCGCCCTTGGTAAGCAAGGGGAGCGCGCGAAAACGCTGCTGCAAGCCCCAAAATGGTTGCGTGCAGCCATTTTGGGGCTTCCACAGCGTTTTCGCGCGCTCCCCTTGCTTACCAAGGGCACGAAAACGCTGCGCCCCAGCCCCTTTCGGCTGTTCTGGCGGCCATTTTGAAGCCGCGGAACAGCTGATTGTCGGGTCACAAAGCGAAGGTCGGTAAGACCTACAGATACAACCGGCCCTTTGATGGGGACCAAACTGCTGATGCGGCCCCCGATGAATTTGAGTTTGACACCCCTGGCCTACTCTGTAAGAGTAATCTAGTGCTCTTACATAGGAGTTGATTCACCAAATTCCCAACGATTCAGTGGGCCTGCTCTAGTGCAACTTACTTTGCTAAACAGCAGGATTTTAGCCACTGATTCAAGAAGTCCTGGTGGGAAATGTGAATGTCTGTTTTGCACTTGTCATTTGCCAAGGAGAAGCATCCTCGAGTTGTGGTTTTGTGCAGCAGATTATCATACAGTATGGTTTAGTACAACACAAAGATATTATTTGCATTTTCTGTTGGAAAGCTTTGTGTATTTTCCCCCTTGACACAGAAAAGCAATATTCCAGAAGAGTAATCATGTATGTCTCTTTGAGAAAAACAAACACCAAGTAGCTCATGTGCTAGAAACATCCTCTCTGCCTCCAATAGCAATAGGCCAATGATGTTATATAGATTTTTGAGGTCTTTCCATGATAATAGGCTTTCTGTATGAGTTCTCTTGTTCCCATTATGCAGTAGGAAGGGATCAAAAGAATGTAGTTATATTAAGCACTATGTTCAGTTATCAGGTATATTAAATTTATTTATTTATATAAACCAAAACATTTAAACCAAATGTTGAATTACATTCTGGATATCCAATGCTTCTGAGTTTCTGTTTTGGTTTTTTTTTTTGTTTTGTTTTTGGTAATTGAAAATTGCTCCCTTTGCAGTATTTATGTTGGGACCATTTTCTATAACCACACTGAATAAAATCGATGCAGAATGCACCTCAGGGTTTCATTTGAAAATATCTTATTTGCTGATCCCAATACTACAGATTTTGGGGATCATTATCTAAAGTCATTTACCATCTTAAATATGTGCTGTGCTTTAGCTTTGAACAGGGGAGAGGAAGCTATGCAAAGAAATATAATGTGGAAATGTAAACAGCGTTCTGTGTATAGCTGCGCTGGCCACGTGACAACAGAAACTGTCTTCGGACAAACACTGGCTCTACGGCTTGGAAACGGGGATGAGCACCGCCCCCTAGAGTCAAACACGACTGACTAAAATGTCAAGGGGAATCTTTACCTTTACCTGCATATACAGTGGTGCCTCGCTTGACAACGATAATCCGTTCCATTCAAATCGCTGTTAAGCGAAATCGTCGTTAAGCGGAAAGAAACCATTGAAATGCATAGAAAACTGGTTCAGTGCATTCCAATGGGGAAAATACCTGCTCGTGCAGCGAAAATCCTCCATACGGCAGCCATTTTGTGGTCCCTGTCTTGCGAAGAATCCATCCTGAACATAGCGGGGAGCCATTTTGTGACCCGCCGATCAGCTATTTTCAATCATCGTCCAGCGAAAAAACGGTTCCCGAAGCAGGGAACCGATTGTTGTAAAATGAAAAAAACCCATTGAATCATCATTAAGGCATCATTAAGCGATTTCAGTGTCAAGCGGGGTAATCGTCAAGCGAGGCACCACTGTACTATATTGGTCCTGTTGTGCTTTGGTGTCCAGTCTTTTAGGTGGACACGTCTCTGCCTTAGTGTGTTTGTGGGTTTGAAGTGCATGTGTATGTGGTGTTTATCAAAAATCCTTTTGTGCTTTTTAGACACACCCGCCATGTAAGGAATGAGCGGGTTCTTCCGTCGGTTATGTGTCTCAGAGTGTTCCATAATCCTCCTGGATTGGGATACTGCCTTGTTAAAGGGCCATTTTTATATCCACAGGCCTTAAGAGCTGTCCTCAGATGTCCATCTTCCTTCTTCTTGGCTTCTGTGGAGGTGGGGATATTTCTTACTCTGTGGTTTAACGTCCTGATGACCCCTATTTGTGTTGTAACGGGTAAAGAGAGTCAAATTGCAGGTATTGATCAATGGGTGTAGCACTTCTATTCTTAAGCTTCTGTTGGATCCTATGATGACTGCACAGCCCAGGAAAACCAGCCAGTTGTCTTTGGTGAGCTTGATATTTGAGTTCACTACATTTATGTGGTCTGTGAAGGGCTGTACTTCCTGAATCTTGATCTTCACCAAAGTGTTGTCCATATACTTGAACCAATTGGTTGGAGTCATCCCTTGAAAGGTGTTTAGTGCCTTCTTTTTCACTTCTTCCATGTAGAAGTTGGCAACAATGGGCAACACTGGTGCACTCATGTTTTTGTCTGTAATAGTCCTCTCTATAGGTGAAGTAAGTGCTGCTCAGACACAGGTCCAGGAGCCGGCATATCTGGTCCAGGTTGAGGCTGTTTCTGGTGGAGAGGGTGTTGTCCATATAGACCACATAACCACAGTGGAGGATATATTAGGGATCTCCTACTGACTCTCCTCAGACTGAAGAAGCTACTTGGATGACTAGTGAAACATTTCAATCTAACAAGAAAGAAGTCCTGTTGCCATGACTCAACTTCCAGATAAAGCTACTGAGAATCTTCACAGATATCAAATAAATACTTTACCTTTTTCTTTGTTTTCACAGGAAATAGTTTCAGCATCTAGAAGTTGACAACCGCATTGTCTGGACACACTGCTTTCAAAATTACACTAATAACATTTCTGAGTCCTAACTGCTTGTGCAGTTTCTTGAGCATTTCTTGAAAAACATTGTCCCAACTTCTATTCTACCTCATAGCACTATCTTCCCTTCCCTCACTATGGGAGT